AATATTGGAATTAGCTAATGCTTTAGGCAGATTTGAGTAGTTTATTGGGCAAAATCGGAACTAATTTTGACGATATTTTGAAACAGCATGTCGACGCCACTTGCCTACACCTTCGGGGTTTTCACATTTATCTATTTTTAATTGTCTATTTTTTGTGACAATACGTAGGCCCAGTCGCGCTCTGTTACTGCTATTCTTGCACAAATTTTTTGTCTCTGAGTTTATATTTCCTTATTAGTTGTACAGGCCGTGTCTTCATATACTACTGAAGTGGCCATTGATTAGCAATTATGTAAGCGTTTCGTTTTGTTACTACATTATTGTCATTTGGATATTTGTGGACTTCCTTTGACGCGTCCCTATATAATGGGAATCACATACCAAAGAACTGCCAGCGCACACCAGGCTACCAGGGCCATGGTTTGCTGAAGCGTGGCATAGCATACGCAGACTATCCTTTAAGCCCTTAGGGGTGAGACAGAAGGCCCTGCATATAGCCTGGGCCATCACCCTTCAAAGGCCGGGTAACCACTCAGGCATCAAGTGAGAGGCATTTCATTTAAACGAGTATCGTGCGATTATACAGTGTTTGGGTATTTTTCACTTAACCACACCCAAAAGGCCTATTTTCCCATCTCCAGTAAGAAGGACATCTCTCGGTCTGGTATTTTTTTGAGAGGATTCTCACTCCAGCCCAGAGATAGAGCGTTTTGAGCGGAATTACATTTTGAGAAGTTCAATGACAGTCGTTCCTGCATGCAACGGGTCGGTCAACAGTCGGTCAAAGTCCCAGCTGGGGGGAGTAACGGGACGATGACGTGGAGAACAGTACAGTAGATGTGCTAACTCATGAAATGTCAACCAAAATTTCGAAATGCGTTCTCGTTTCGAAAAGATAAATTAAGTAGTGTTGTGAAACTAATCATGATGCAGCATAAATTTATAATGGTCCAATTACCTCAGGGTGTCGGATTTCGAAAGAACTTATTTTCGGCTGCATGCAAGATCTATACTCTGCAAAAAATGACTACTTACGTAGTATGCAATTTTCTCATTGATTTTCGAGGCCCTTGAAAATGCAATTATATTTCACGGAAAACATGCATAAAAATATTCATTCTTTTACTTATTCCGTGGGAAGTCACGTCTTCTTCCAATTTCATACTCAAAAGAAGAGTATTATTCGGGTTTTAAAAAACTTTTCTAATTCCCGAATAATTTTGAACCCGACCTGCTGTTATACTTGCATTCAGGGTTTCTAAACTACAAGCTGTATATTTTCCGTGTACGGAAAACCATGCATTTCTCTACGGTGTTAAGAGGAGACCATATGAAGTTCATAAAATTAAGCAGTGTATTTGAGCAATATTGTTAACTTTACAAGCCACATTCGTAAATGCAGATACATGACGTTTCATGAACGGCCATTTAACGGTATTAAAAAATCTCACAATTAGAAACTTTTTTAAAACCGAATTATACTCTTTTTTGAGTATGAAATTGGAAGAAAACGTGATTTTCTACCGAATAAGAAAAAGAATGAATATTTTTATGCATGTTTTCCATGAAATATAATTGAATTTTCAAGGGCATCGAAAATCAATGAGAAAATTGCATGCTACTTATGTAGTCATTTTTTGAAGAGTATAGATCTTGCATGCAGCTGAAAATAAGTTCTTTCGAAAGCCGACACCCTGAGGAAACTGGATCATCATAGATTAGTTTTACAACACTACTTAATTTATCTTTTCGACATTTCATAAGTTAGCACATCTACTGAACAACCGCTAACTGGGTTGCGCAAACATGAAAACTCTGCAAGTGCACAATTCGGTGGCTGTTCGGAGCAGCACAAGGTCGCCCATTTGGATTGCGAAAGTGTGATTTCAGAAGTGATTGACTGACTGACTGAGCAATTTCGTTGAGGTGACAGAGTGCCCAACCAATTCCGACCAGGCAGCATTTCACGGGAGAGAAAATATATCTTCAGATTTTGACCAATTAATTGACTACGCTGGACTTCGGGATTAGTTAAGCCAAGGAGTTTGTGGCTTCCAGTTCCCCTAGTCACCAGCGCGATTGCTTATTCACACTTCGTTTGGTTGACTAGGCACGCCCGTCAAGCGTTGAGTGCGCATGTGTGATTCGGCATTCGGCCTACCGACGCAGGTCGATATTTACGTCTTCGGACTCGGGAGGCAGTTCAGCTGTCGAGTTCAACGATATTCACCGTCTGCCCCATAGCAGAGTGACGGCAACTTGGGCAGCGTCTACTGCACACTCTCCTTCTCCCCCCATCCGGATCCACTGTCATGAGGGTCGGGGACGGCTGAGGTCAGAGTTGGCTTGCACGGCGAAACCTGCATCTAGGCGTACCGCCACACCTCCTGGTCCACAACATACACTGACTGCGATTGAACACCAAGAAGAGGTAAGCGGCCCAGATCCCAGTTTGCGCGACGTGAGCCTGCAACTCGGCGTGCCGCCACATCTCAAACGTCGACAGTTGTTATGGGTACGCATGTCAGATAACGTCTGTCGGACTCCGATCTAGTCCCCGTGTTATTCCAGCGCATCTACCGCGCGGCCCGTTTTAGCGGCGCGGACACACGGCTTGTGAGTCCACTTGCTGCCTCTGCCTGATAACCGCGTGTGCGTTCTCTTACAGCAGAAAGGGCTGTCCAACGATTCCCTCTTATCCGACTTGGGAATATTTGAAGTGACGGCTATCGTACATCGAAAAGTTAACTTGTTTAGCACCAACTTAACGTCGATGGTCTGCTTTGGGAATAAGTCAGGAAGTAAACTTCCCGTTTGTGGGGATTCGGTAAAAAATTCCAGGCCATTTTAAGTAATAAAAAACATGGCGTCTTAGTCCCTCCGTTGGTCACCTAGACGACTGGACGGATCATCGCGTCTTCATCGCCAGAATGAGGCTCCGATTGTAACCCCGCAGGACACCACACGGCAAACGACAACTTGGCAAGTTAAATATTGTTCTGTTGAATTTGTCTGCTCAACGTTTGCATTTCAGCAACCCATTAGTACAGTGCTTAGAAGAGATGGCGACCTCGGACGACAAGGCTACCGTGAAGATTCGGTGTTGTCAACTGTGGACTGCTATCCAATTCACTGCCTTGGACGTCCTCGAACGCGCACGTCGCCAACGCCAGGACCGGTTTTATGACAGCGACGCGGGCACCAGCAACTTGATAGCTTAGAAAGACAGGACGAACAAAGTGACGAAAACAATGAGACCTTCTTCCGCTACGCCATCTCGTGCGAGGGAATAGGTATGCCCCCGGATTTAGAGTAGAATCACCTGGTCGTACGGAGGGATACCTATTCTCATGTCCTGTCCACCGTTTCTCTTAGCATTCTTCTGTGATAGTTCCTAATATTTGGGCTTAGGTGGTGGTTCCAAGAAGACAAAAAACATGTATTTTCGATAGCTGCTTCTCTCTGTCTTCAGACATGTGTCCATTGTACGGAGAGGATGCAATGCCTGATAGCACCGTTCAATGTCGGTTAGCTAGAAAGTGTCATATCCGGAAACATCGACACCCACTCCCCACCCCCGGCCGACCAATTGGCTCCAATGTGCATCGTATGAGTGCATTTTGAAAGAAAATGACTGGTAAATCAGCAGAAAATTTGCAATGGCCCTATCGGGAACCTTGGGTAATCCAAACCTGGGATGGGGTATGACTGGCTGACGGCGACTAGTACCCCAAAAATGGCCATACCAATCTCATTTGTCTTTGGTAGAGGGCGCTCACCGATAGTCCTTACGGAACTTACTCGTTCCGTTGTGTCTTACGGGCTCCCTCTCGAGCCCAACAAGCAGCCGAACAGCGGCGCATGATATAGGCAGAGTGATATTACCGACGAAGACAAGGGAAACTAGAATGGCTATTTCTGGCTTACCAGCCGTCGTCAGCCAGTCATACCCAACCCGAAGTGTGGAAAACCCGAGACTCGAACTCGCTAGCTGACGACGACTAATAAGCCAGTCTTGTCTTCGTCGGCAATACCACTCACTTGTATTTGTTGGCACCCCTCTAAGGGAAGTCGATGGGGTCCCACAGCCAGTAGGTATCACAACTTGATAGGAAACACTCTTCCTAGTTTAGTTGTTGTTTCTGACGCACAGGCATCACCGCTTTTAAGAACACACACTCCCCACGCAATTTATTTTTATCCAGCGAACTCGGGATCCTGGTAACCATCATAAGGCGTTCACATGAATGTAAACGACGACATGGTCCTTTGCTAAGACACTCCTACATGTCTTGTTTTTGTGAACACATAGCTGGTTTCACCAAAAAGTCAGCGTTCTGTATGTAAGAAAACCCTCCGACGGGTGACCTTTACCGCCGGGCTGTCAATTTCCTCCGTCCCTTCTTGATCGATAATCCGCTTAGGCAGAAAAAATTTGGTCGTTCTGACGTTCCACAGGAGATTGCTTACAAACAGGCACGTTTGTTTGTCAATATGACTCTTGAGAGTCCAAAGGTCGGTAATCCAGCCTTGTCTGGCAGCATCCGCTCTCCGCCAAACAAAGTTTGCAGGCGCTGAGCGACCAAAAAAGGCTAAACCTAAAGGTGCCGAGTTCTCGCGACCTGCAAGCAGATGCTAATAGCAAGCAAGCAATTGTGAGAAACGACGGTGATAACCAGTCCCCCCCCCCCCCTCCCAACACCACTCAACCAGCAAGTTGCGACGGCCTTCGCGACGCCCTGAAAGTCACTGAGACCTAGCCCGCTACCGTAATCCCCGACGGGGGGAATTGAGACTCGAAAGTGTAGGATTTGAGAGCCTAAGTATTGCATTTGCGTGATCCGAGAAAATGAGTACATCCACCGGAATATTGGCGTTGATTGTCAAAGTATTGCAGGGAGGCGAAGGAAGTTCGAGATTGCCTTGGCATAAAATTCGTCCAGCTGATCAGCTAAAACGGGTAGTAGGAAGTGTTGGCAAATTAGACGACAGAACAGGGGTCACATGGCCTTCTCTGTGTAGGGCGGCGGCGGTGGTGGCGCAGTGTACTGGGGTGGTTGGGGGGTCGGCATCGGTAGGGGCGGTGCAGAGGGCGGCTGCATGACCGCAGGGGTATAGATCATCCCCGAAGCATCCGGCTGCTGAACCGTCACGAAGGTTTGTCCAGACGTCTGTAGGTGTAGAATACGCAGATAAAAGAATATCTGTATAAAACAAGGGGGCGAACAGGGGGTGTGTTGGGTTAAAGAAGGTGGTTGTTGGTGGGGAGAGTTGTGTGTTCTCCGCAGGAGACATCTAGGGCTGGCTCGTAAGAAGTGGCAGTCCAGGGACTCGCAAGATAAATGCCCTCCTCTGACCTATTTTGCTGAGGTGTGTGTAGGTGTGTGTGTTTGCAACCTACGCTCGATTGCAGAAAGCATGAGTTGTAGAATGGTTGTGCGCTTGACCATGCGGAAAGTCATTCAACGTGCGCTCAGCGTCCAGTTACTTACAGAGTCAGCGGTGAACTAGTGGAACGTCCTACTATCCGGCGCAGTTAAGACAGCAAAGTGGACGCTTCGCCAAGAAACACACAAGTAACGTTGATAATTATTCCACACCTGTCCGACTTATCAGCACACAGTTCGAGTCCTGATCATCCCAGTCGGGCATCCCATGCCCATATCCACATAACCGATATTACCCCCCTCTCTCTCTAGCCGATTCGTCACCACTGGTCACAACACTCCAGTCATTGAGGTCACGCCACCTCAGCCGGAACGGCTGCAATGAAGGAGTCGAATTCGCCACCTTGCCAACCCGGCGGGCGTCTGCGGGCCCGACATTGGGTAGAGCGGGAGTCGGGGGGAGTGCGGCAGAAGCTGTGCAAGTCTGCTGTCACCATAAACTCATTGTCGCACAAGCTACCACCCCTGTTTTCACCCTGCTGTGGAGCATACGGTGGATATCGTCGGAGCCGGAGGTCGAACTGGGTCACCACGGGGTAGAGTAGAATGCCCTACATGGGAGGGTGTGGCGGCACGCCTGGGCGCATGTTCACGCCGCGCCAGTCGCCTGCCTCTGGTCTTGCCTCCGGTCTTCTTGACTCCGTCTTGGTACACGGCCCAGGGGTGTGGGGGAGGAGTGAGTGTGGTAGATGCAGGGCAAGTCTACTGTCACTATAAACTATTCCAAGCGCAACCCACCGTCCCTGCGCTCACCCTACAGTGCGGGACAGTAGTTGAACATCGTCGGTAGCTACGATCGAGCTGTCGGGTGGGATGCATACAGCGCCCCCGGTAGCAACCGCAAAGGCTGGACACAAAGAGTGCTCTACCCTGACTCTAGCATCCACGGCGATCAACAAGTTCACCGACTGCCAACCACATTTAAGAGCAGGAGTAGGACAACTCAGAGACGAGAGTCAATCCTGCCCCCGATCAGTTCACAGTGGTGGTGTGCGTGTGTACATGTTTCAAGCTAAACAGACGTGTGCAACATCGGCCGCACTCTGTTCCCACCTTCACTTTGATCCAATGGTAAGATGAAGTCAAGAAGACCGGAGGTGATGGTAGCGGACGCAATGGCTGACAAAGTTAAACAAACCAATCAAGCCTTACACACGACCCAGTTCCTAGCTACACCTGAATGAGTCTCGGATGACTGAACATGGAGAGTTACCATAAAGACGACATCTGGAAGGAGCCATTACACCCTGGTCCTCCTTCCAAGGGAGGATCGTGTTATCCCCCTGGTTGGCAACCTTTCAAGACACGTCTCTTAGCGAATCGTGCTAGCTTCAAGTGTTACATCTAGAGTACCTGGCCTATCTCATGAAATTTTAACCCAAATTCCGAACGGCACTTTTGACGAGAAAGGATTACCTAAGTCGGGTTGAAATATTGACTATGGCGCAGTTTACTTACAAGACAATGCCTGCTGACAACCAGTACTGCAACCTTGCTTACGTAATCGTTCCTGACCTAAAATGACCTTTATAATTCTGGTTAACATTCTATGCGATTCGTCATCTACTGTAAGCATTCACTTGCACAGGGGCATGACGCTATTTGGGACAAACGCGTCGCTAGGATGTTATTGTTGAGGACATACTTAAATGTGACCGAAAAAACACCCTTTAAATCGTTGCCTGACATCGCAGTGGCCATCGGGTCAACAGCTAACTTTCGCCTGTTTTTATTATCTCGCTCAAACGGAAAGTTTCCCTAGACAGGATCATCCAAGTTTTGCGATTTTGGCGTCCACGTTGTTTTACCCTGCATGAGGCCAGAGGACGCTGCTGTAGTCGGTGCCCAGACAACTTTAGGGGAAATGGAAGGGGGTGGAAGGTCTTGGAAGGAAGACAGGCAAAACAGAAATAGGACTTACCGGCTGACTCAGCACAACTCCCGGTTGAGATTTTGGCGTCATACAGCACACGCAGCACCACATACAGAGGGAAATCACAAAGACCACAGAGCCTACCACGGTCAGGAGTGTGGCGATGGAGAACATCCTGTGGTTGAACGCAAAAAGCACATATTACGTTTCGTCGGCATGAAATCAGATTGGCAGAATGGAATAGGTGGTGCTGAATTCGAAATCAGTAGAGAGTAGGGGGGGGGGGGAGAAAACAATAGGCCACAGGCAGTAGGAACAATGACGCGAGCTAACAGCATGAGTAGTGTAAACAAGTAGTAAAGTGGCTTTCGAACATTCTCATCACAGTAGCATCTACGCCCAGTGACGATAAGCGCGGAGTAAGTGGAGTCACCCTTAGTATAACATTTTCCGCTGAATTAACTATGCAACCTATCCCGATAACAAATAAAATTCTGATGGGGAAAAGGTGGCAAGTTAATCGGTTCTGAAGATGTACGATGCGTTCATACTCGCAAACGGGGTTCAGAAAATTTTGGGAAACCGTACATATCACAAAACCGCCTCGCGAATTGCAGCGGACCACAGGATTTAGTACTGCTTCTGACAGCAAGTAGCATAGTTAGGGGAAACAAACTTACTCTGGTGAACATTGTTCAACCGATCAACACACTCTCGAAGCTTATTAGTAGTCTTCTGTGGGAGCTGTCAAAGTATTGGATTTTTTTATCTTTTTCATCATTAACGACAATTTCCTAATGGAAAAATGGCGTATCAAATGAATCGTTGAAATAAACCGAGAACCGCTCCAGCCGTATGAGTGCGGGAGCCGAGCTCGTTGACAAACGGCGTCACCACGACATACGATTTTGGTGTCTGGGATATGGTGACACAAGAGGCCTAAGACCGATGACAACAGGGACAAGAAACTGATTCACACGTTGTCGCAGTCACCACGAAAGGCGGATTGCTTGGAAGTAACTTCTGAATTCATTAAAACAATTCACAACTCTTTTCAACAGCGTGAAGAAGACACGATTGCTGGAACAAGAGGTTTACTCGCCCCACGTTTCGGATTCCTGCTCGAACTTATCATCAGAGACAACGACAGGCAGGGGCTTGGAAGAAGAGAAACGACGCAAACTCTGAGATCGCGGCTTATTCCATGAGATCGGGTCATGCCTCGCAGGTGAACCGTGAGCCATGGTTCTCCGGCCCGCATTCAATTAACAAACACAATGACCTTTCGCCTCCATTAGCCGCCTTCTTGCACCACTTGGGGTTGGAGTTGCGCACAGACCGGAGGCCACCATGAGGCGTCAAGTGATGAGACCAAAAGACCCACTGCCACGGCAAGAAACATCTGGAGTCGTTTACCGGATCTGGTGCAGTTGCGGACAAAGCAACTACGTCGGAGAAACTGGAAGACTGCTCCGGACGCGAATCGCCGAACACGTGGCAGCTGTACGGATAAATGACGCCAACTCTCAGGTCGCGGCCCATTCGACGAGACCCGGCCACACATTCAAGTTCGATGAGGCCGAAATTCTCGCGAGAGGGGATAATCGCGTGAGCCGCGAGTTGCTTGAATCATGGTTCACGGGACCTCAGTCTATCAACAAGTGCAACGACATCCCCACTCCATATTCTGTCCTGAGGCATAGACTGGCCAAAGCAATTGACCACTCGAGGAGCGCGCAAGCACGTGAGCCAGATGGCCGAGCAATCATCACGCCAGCATCCAACACGGGTGATGAGATGTCAGCAATTAACAACTTGCATGCCGGCCATCAAGCAATTAGCGCACCAGCGGGCAACAATCCTTGATGAAGGGAGCAGGGTTAATTGCTGTAGGTATGCGGTAGCATGGCGACCGCATCCTATAAATACTGCTACTTCCTGTACACTAGCCACCCTTTTCTGCAGCTGTCTCTGATGATGGATTCAAGAGAGAATCCGAAACGTCAGGCGAATAAAGCCATTGTTCCAGCGATCGCTTCTTCTTCTGATCAACTAATTCTTGGAACTCGCATTTTCGCTTGTATCGGCGTTTCGAATCTCTCACCGAAGAGAGCTGTTGTAAAGGTCACACACAGAAGATGAGGGTATAGTTACCCAGCTAGTGGACGGTCCTCCAAGCCAGATCTTGTAGCGCGTCGCGTTACACTGTCTACAGTATGTTCTAGCTCCGCGTCTGACTGAACCCATTCTCCCCTACAAAGTGTCCAAATGAAAATGAAGAAGATAAAATTGGCCGACTCCACTTATGCACACCCAAAGTGGTGTTGCAGTCGTTTCAGGGATCTCAGTGTTTCGACTTAATACTAGACTGTCCGCACCCAGAACCGAAAAAGACTTTTTAAGGCACTAACTTACGGGAGTGTGATGCGGATGTCTTCGTCATCATCTAGCCTGAAGTCCGCTTCGCGGCCCCTGAAGATGATAAACAGCGCAATGCCAGCGGCAAGGGCTACAAGTCCAATAACAGTCACGATGGCCGCGAAGAATTTGCAAAAACAAAGGCAACAACTGTTAGCAACAGGTAACACCCGATTCCCCATATTCGGACGACGATTGTCCACGAAGGGGGCTAAAATAAGAGAAAGGACAAATTCACAAGTGAAAGGGTCGTGGAAAAACCTATCCTAACCAGCCTAGTTAACGCTAGTAAAAGGTCAATAAGTGCGAGCAGCAGGAACACTAAGCGAGACAAGGAGGACACAAGCCCACTATAGAATGGACACTAAACGTGCACTCCCTTTGTGCCTGCGTTGTTCTGAAGGCACTCATTACTACTAATCCAATGGACTTCGTGGTGCAGATTAGCGGCATGACAAATGACTACCTTCCATTGCGGTCAGTCGGTGGCAGACTACTAGGTGAGTTGAACTGGTTGGCAGCATGGCTCCGCATGTAGGAGCTTCCACTGTGTCAACCTACGCCCTCAGCTGGAAGTCTCAACGTTATTGTCGGCAGGTGCCGCGTTCAGATGATATGACATGACGCACGCGTTTGCCTCCAGACAGGCGTGGCACGAGACTAGACCAGCTTAGCCGCGAGTAAATAGAGTGTGGTTTAAGATCAACAGTCGTCCATTGGAGACGCGATCAGAGACTCATTTAGAAAACCGGAAGCCAAGGTCGCCTTTCAGCGAACACTCCCAAGCGATGGATATAATCGAAGCAAAAGAGCGCTGTCTCAAAATCGCACACGAGTGATCGCCGTTTCGTCTTCGAAGTCATCTAATACCGACTCCAGGGGCTTCAATGAAGTGTGACGAAAACTTTCCGCGTCTGGCTGATCCCGCTGTCTGACTTGCTCGTCTGACAGAAAGTTTCACACGAAGTGGCAAATATTGTCCACTAGTTCGAATAACTTAGCCATCCACCACAACCGCTTAGATAGGTCCAGCCCAGAAACCCCAAGTAGTCCCTTCGGGCCAATGGATTGGATTTACAGACTCAATTTAGTCTCCCTCGCACCTACATGGAACACAAGAAACCGAATTTCGCAGAGTTTGACGGCACCGTAACGTAGTACCTGGTGGTCATCCAATGAACGCCTGGGAAAGGAGTTTAGTGGAGTTCACTAGACAACACGACGAGGATAGACGATAAAGACGACATCGGGCAAGTTGCCTCTAACAATCCACTCCAGCTAGTAAGAATGACCTCATTAAGACCCGACTGGGCTTGCTTAACAGGGTTTGAGAGGTTTTCGACGATGATGTGCGATTCCTCCTTGCCTTTTGTTGCACATGCACAAGGAGAGTAGTTAGCTCAGAAAAGAAGAACGCAAGAAAGTAAATCTTCCTTTTATCAGGGCAAAGCCCATGGCTCACGTGGCAGGAAACATCTACCCATAGTAGGGCTCAATTTTTCGACACATACCTCCCAATGGCGGAGGATGACGTTTGTCTCCAAGAGGATTAGTATCCGTTGTTCTCACCCCCACCCCTCGCAGACTGTGAAGCATAGCACGACTGGGGTCCAGGACTCTAGTCGGAGGGTCGTCAACTGATGACATGTGTGTATTTTGTAAAAGCGGACCTCAAGCACATGCCGAACTGTGCAATTGCCTATCTGAATATCCGAGGTGCATATTTCATCCCTGGTCGAAAGCCTGCCACAGAACGACTGAAATGAAGGATCATCTTTCGAGGTGTTGTCAACTTGCTGTGTGGAACAGGCTAAATGAGTTATATTACCACAGGTATAAGTAAACAGTCTACACGGATTCCGATAAATAAACTTACAAAGCCAAAAATAGGTTTAAACGCCGCACAAGTCACAGCATAGAGAGGACTATATAGTCACATTCGTCAAAAGTGTGGTGCTATGGCGTTGAAAACGGTACACTTAACGCTTGCAGGACAGTAGCAATCTACAGTCGCAACCCTTTTTCTTCAAAAACTAAGAACGCCTCTGTCTATTGAAATCGTTGTCTTGAGTGCATGACATTGCTTTGCGTAACCCTGACGTGTTTCAGCGTGAACATCATAGCGGATACCTTATCAACGTTTCACGCCTAGGTAAGAAGTACAGCCAATAGAATAAATGGTAAAACACGCATGCATTTGCATTAGGTGTCGTCGTGTTGTAGTCCCCGTGCGACTAACTCTGCTGGATCCGAGCATTCACGCAAAAAAGATAAAATTCAATCTGACATGCTATATAACAGCAGTAGCAAAAACTCGAGTAGCTGGATCCGGAATTATTCTCTTGGACGCAAATAAGCTAATGGATAGACGTTTCACCACCAGTGATGCGGAAGTTCACCGCAGGAGTTTTTCGGGACCTTCGTTTTTTGCAGTACTTTCCTAATTCACATACAGGGGCATGACACAACAGTGACGGCACTCAACGGAGAATGCTGACTGATGATATTACGCTGTTCGTACGGACAAGACGCGTCTTGTCCACATACTCCGAACTGCTGACATGACAACTCATAATTTTTAGCAGTTATGGTTAACCTCATCGAAACATCAACGAAACACGAATTTTTGCAATGAGCTCTATTTGCGGTTTCTTCCAGATGGCAGAAATGTGGGAAAAATGATTTTTTTTAAGCAGCTTAGACGGCTGTTTAGAACAGCTGTCCCAATCGCCGGGGTAATCTTGTAGGGTTGTAGTAGGCGGGCCACTCACTCGACCGATTGTTTTAAACGGACCTTTTTTACTTCCCGCCCTCCCTTTTCAGAGTTAGGTCACGTTGTAGCGGCCGAGGACGTCGAGGGTAGCACACACCAGAGTAAGAGAACGCCGAGAAGAGCTCTTGGCCGGGGTAGACCTGAACGGAGCTGTTAGCATTGCTTGATACACATCCATACACAGAAGAAGAAGGCATGTCGAATAAGAGATAAAGTGTAATATGACGGGATTGCATGGGGAAACGTATAATAATCGTTAATAGTACAGGTAGGATGATTACATCTGTAGAATGACCTGTCTGGATGGAGAGACGATGCCACATGCCAGCTAGTGAATCGGTGGGGAGCGCAGCGCTGGGGGCAACTGCAGGGAAGGGCCGAGGGAGTGCCGATGTAGCGAGGAAGCGAGCGGTTCGGATGGTACGTTACGTTACGACGAGGAGGAAAGGGATCGGCAGAAGAGAGGGTGAGGGACACCGGTTATCTTCACCGACACGCGACTACGCCATCTCCACCCTAGGTCCTCGCGCGGAAAAGTGTCACCTCATTCGAAAAACTCTGTCCGAGTCCAGGGGCGTTACAACGTGGATTGGAGCTGACGCCTGTCGACGCACCCTCCGCTAAGTCCCCTTTTCCTTATCGTTTCCGTATTCCTGGACTACCGATTCGTTTTCCATCTCGTTTGTTTCACAACAAACTAATCTTTTTCCGTGTTTCACGTTTTATCGAATCATAGGATTAAGTAGTATTCTCATAGTTGACTAGTAGTCTGTACCCACTATTTTTACCTTTTATTATAGATCGCGTTAAACTTATTTTTCTATCGTGCCGCCAACGTTTTACCAATAAACTTTTATGTCCAGGTCATCTGTCGCTATTATGTCCACTCCACCCCTTTCCTTTGCTAGTGTGTATGATGGAGTAACTCAACTTTTAGAGGAGTTTTCCTTGACTACCCATACGAAAGACCGCAAGCCATCTCATTCAACCTCAGGTCTCCCCGAGTTTCCCGGAGCCCCTACTTGCTCGGCCGGTAAACTGTCTTCCTTACTGCGATGATCTTTGCGGCTGCTGTTTCTTCAAGGATTGGCTTAAGCTCAGTACTGTACGTCACCTCTGAATGGCATGGATCTTCAGCGTCACTTATTCTTCAATCAGAAACTCAAGCCAGTGCAAAACTCAGTAGAAGGAAAACGGTCTGTACACAAAAGATTTATATAGTGAAATAGGGTATAAAGGGACGGGAAGCGTATAGTCTCAACGAAGATGGGGGATAACGGCGGTCAAAGGGAATTATGAAGCACTTCACTGCTGTGGTTCTTGGGTAGGTACTACATTCACTGAATTCGTCTCCTTAACTCCGTTTCAATACTCCTTCTTATCTGTAAAGTGACGAAGAAGAAGGCTCGTCCGAAGCACAGCACCACAGATCGCCGTTTTTGTCTTCTTTTTTTGACTTCCCGCCAACTTCACCCAGTCTGACATTACACACTCCCCTCCTCAGTTGGAGCCCTGTCCGCAAGGCTCGCCGTTAGCGTGGTTTCTATTATTTCTTCGCTAGTCGAAAAGGGTACTAAACTTGGAGGAACGATGGGCAAGGTGTCCTCTGTAGCCGTAGGTTGGCGTCCCCAATATGGCTTAAGCTCATCAAAATGCGCAGTGAACGTCGGGTCATCAGGGTATGACGCGTCCCGAAGTACGTAAGTAGTGGGATGTAGAACGTCTACGACTACATATGGTCCTTCCCAAGGATAGAAGAACTTTGCTGAAGTGCCAAGGGGGGGGTACTGGGCTTGTACCAAGTTTCCTGGGACTACCACTCGGCTGTGTCTCGTTACGTTGTCTCTAATTTGTAAGATATCGTTTTCGATAACGAGTTGTGACCACTGGTTACGGAGAATATAAGCTGCTTCGGACGAGCCACGTAGTTCAGTATCGGTGGGTCGGTGTTGACCACGCGTCAAATGGTCATAGACTACCGCGGTGTCCGGATCCGTACTCTGAGCCACTGCCCAGTGGTGTCGTGTCGGCTCGCTGGAGTAAACCGCGTTGACCCCGTCCCTCGGAGTGTTGTCTGCTCTGATTTCCGTATTAGGGGGTCGTCGAGATAGGGCATCCGCGTTAGCGTGTTGTTTACCTGATCGGTAGATGCAAGTGAACTTGTACTCCTGTAGTATTTCTTGCCAACGGGCGAGTTGGCCTTCCGCGTCCTTTGTGCTCTGCAGCCACTGTAGAGCCTTGTGGTCGGAGCGTACGATGAATGGCCTGCCCAGCAGGTAGGGGCGAAACTGTTTAATGAATGTAATAATGGCTAGTAATTCACGCCGATATGTGCAATAATTGCGTTGTGGTTTTGACAAGGTTTTACTCGCAAAGCATAACGGTTTTTCTTGGCCACTGTTATCCGCCTGTGAGAGTACTGCGCCAATAGCGAACGCGCTAGCGTCAGTATCCAGGATGAAAGGGGGTGCATCCGCGGAGACATCAGGAAGTCTAAGTATCGGGGCTGTTGTAAGGCGGGCTTTAAGGTCGTCGAACGCAGTTTGACATTCTTCTGACCAAAGAAATCTCCGTCCTTTCTCCGTCAGTCTATGCAACGGTCTTGCAATGCCGGCAAAATCGGCGATGAAGCGTCGGTAATAGGAAGCCAATCCGATGAATCCTCGGACCTCCGTGGGGGTTTGTGGTGTAGGCCAGGATCGTATAGCGTCTATCTTCTCCGGGGCTACGCGTATGCCTGCTGCGGAGACCTAGTGGCCCAAATATGACACCTGATGGCGGAGGAACTGGCATTTTTGTGGGTTCAGACGCAGTCCGGCTTCAGGTAATGTCTCCAACACCGCGTACAGATTTTGGTTATGTTGTGCGATCGTTCTACCGAAGATGATCACATCATCAAGGTACACCAGACATTGTTGGGGATACAAGTGCGCTAGTACGACCTGCATGAGTCGCTGAAAGTTAGCGGCTGCATTGCACAATCCAAACGGCATAGTCTCGAACTCGAACAATCCTTGTGGCAGGATAAAGGCCGTCTTCTGACG